AAGCAATGCCGGACACAATGAGACACATCAGTTTCAAGAAGAATTTTACCAACTACAAGATTCTGACGAGAGCTTCTCGACATCCCGACGCCATGGAGGAGTTGGGCTGTGTGGAGAGAGGGACAGAGTAGAAACAAAAGCTGCACAATGTACTCCAAGTTTCCTGCAGGGCCCACGGATACACCAGATCGCCAAGGTGGTTGGAAGTGTTCGCCAACGATCGAGAACCAGGTCATCGTCTGGTACAACCAGGGCTGTGTCTGTTGCTAACCAACCTCACCAGTCTCGGCAAGGCAGGCTCGGAGGAGCCAAACCACCAAAGCTGAAGCGACACAACCAACATGAGGAACAATGTATCGAGATGTTTCGGCTAGTGCTGCAGTGTGACAATATTACAATAGGGTTTTGTGGCGGGCAAGTTGAAATCTTTAGGCGTCTGGTTTATAAGCCTCCTTAGAAATCTGAGAGGGTACGGTATACAATACCTATGCCCTCTAGCTACGGTTACGACCAGGGTGTTTTTGCATTGTACGTGTATAGTGCATATTTCACCCACCAAAAAAAAAAAAAAAAAAAAAAAAAAAAACATCCATTTTGTCAAACGTGGGCCGCTAGCTAGGCTGGAGTCACAGGAGCCGCGTCGCGTTCAGGAAGTGAGAGCTAGGAGGGGCGTCGGATAGTGGTCGATAGCGGTCGCATCAAAACGACATACAGGGCGACGAGTCAGCGACGGACGGCGACGAAATAGCGACAATCGACGAAGAAAAACTAGACCGTAGGCGACGAGCGAGGGACAGTAGACGACGAGAGGATAGTAGGCGAAGAGCGACAGACAGTGGACAACGAGCGAGGGTCCGTGGACGGCGAGAGCAATTCATTCCAATTTGCGATGGCGGAGAGCCGCGACAGCAGAGGAGCAATGGCGCGTGGGGCAAGCACTCGCGCGCCGGGGGGGCTGTCGGAAAAAGCAACGCTGCTGCGAACAGCAAAGGCTGAAGCGGCGGTGGTGGCGATGGCGGTATTGGCGGCGTGAAGAGGCGGTGGAAGCCCACGCCAATCGCGCCCCGCCTGGATCATTCCCTCTCCGCCGCCACTAGCGCCAGCGCCCACCTCTGCGCTCGGCGCGAGCCCCTTCCGCCGCCTCTTCGAGAGCTCGCGCAAATTGGTGTGCGCGCCAGAGTGGGAGGGAGTGTAGATTGGCGGAAGTGTGGACGGGAAAGGAGTGGCGGAGCAAGGAGGGGAGGCGCAGGGAGGGGAGGGGAGAAGGGGGATATCGCCGCGTGTGGTTTGGGTTTGGCGGAAACGTGGGGAGAGATGGGAGAAAGGGGAGCAGGGGGCGGAGCAAGTGAGCGGAGGAAGGGAGAAGGGGCATGCGGAGGGGTGGGGAAGGGCGGGAGAGAGGGAAGGGGGGAGACCGCGAGTCAGGGGCTCCATGGGGGGACGAGACGGGGGGGGGGGGTGCGGGTAGAGGGACATGAGCGGGGAACGAGGGGCATGAGCGGGGAACGAGGGGGGGCAGGGGATGGGACGCGGGAGAGAGCGGGGGGAGGGGCGGGTGCGGGTGAAGGCAGCAACGTGCGAAGGCGAGGGAAGGAGAGGAAGACTGAAGCAGAATCGAGTGATCAGCTTGAAACGCATGGTGGTGCTGGCGAGACAGGCACGGAGGGGAGGGGGAGACGGGGAAAGGGGCGAATGGGAATGCGAAGGGAGTGTGGGGAAGGGGGCGAGAGAACGGGAGAGGGTGGGAGAAGCAGGGTTGAAGGGACGGGACCCATGGCGATGGTGGGAGGTATGGAGGAGGCACGGGTTGTTGCAGGATGAGAGGCGTGAAGAGGGGTGTGCCACACCCGCGGGGTGGGAGAGGCGAGGGGAAGTTCAGAGGGGGGAGAGGCGAGTGGGTGTGGGGGTATAGAGAGGGGAGAAGAGGGGAAGGGGTCATGGTAGTGTGGGATGGAGGGCAAGGGGGAGGAGGAAGCGGAGTGCATGGGAGAGGTGAGGGAAGGGGGACAGAGAGTGGTGAGGCAGGTGAAAATGAGTGGGTAGGCGAAGGCGAGGGAGGAGAAGGAGAGAATGGGCAGGCGAAGGGGCAAGGAGGGGAGCAGAAGGGATGGGAGGTGAGGGAAGGAGAGGTGGAAAGGAAAGAGGGGAGGAGAACCAGCGCCCCCTCCCCCCCTGCCCTCTCCACCCTTTTCACCCCTTGACCCGCCTGTGTCCCCTCTGCCCCCTGACCCGCCGACCAACGTTTGCACTCCTCCCAACAGCTCTCTCCCCACTCTTTCACCCCAAACTCTCGGGTGCCCAGCAGGTGGCCACGCCTGATCTCAACGCACTGGTGGTTTCACTACTGCCAGAGCTCCTCCACCTCTCCGCCCCTTCCTCTCCTACTTCCAGCGGCTGAACGTGTTGAGGTGGTGTGTGGTGCTATCAGGTAGCACACAACGAGGCGGGGAACCAGCACACGGGGAAGTGCATGTGCGAGGGAGGGGTGAATGCTCGCATCGTTCCTGGCTTTCTCGCAACGCCGCCTGGCCAAGGTGAGTGCACGTGTTTCATGTGGTGGGGTGGGCTGTGGTGCTATCAGGTGGCACACAGTGAGGTGAGTAACCGTGGGAGTGCATGCCGGTTCTTTTCCGACGTCGCCTGGCCAAGGTGACTAAAGGCTGTGACGTGGGGTGGGGAATCAGCCTCTAGTCACCTTGGCTTGTCTTGACTCATGCAAGCACGGCTCCATTGCCACGCTGTCGCGTGAGTGCTGTGGCGATTCAGGTTGGCAATGGTCAGGGCTCCTCTCTGGCATTGCAGTGCCCTCCTCTCTCTTATTACCCTTTCCCTTGCCCTGCATTGCCCTCACCCACACCTCATCTCTTGTCCTTCCTTGCAGCCCTGCCAGGCCTTGAATCTCTCACGCTGCCGCATGAGTGTTGTGATTATTGTAGACGGCGACGGGGCGCACAGGCTGCGGTGGGCCCCTCCTAAGCATCCATTTTCCCACCCTCCTGAGCATCCATTTTCCCACCCTCCTGAGCATCCATTTTCCCACCCTCCTGAGCATCCATTTTCCCACCCTCCTGAGCATCCATTTTCCCACCCTCCTGAGCATCCATTTTCCCGCCCTCCTCGCCCACACACTGACGGGGTTTACATCCTCCTGAGGAGCGTTTTGGCAATCTTGGCAGGAGGAGGAGGCAGAGCGGGGGAGACAGCTATAGCATGAGGGGCAGACGGAGCATCTCCCTTCTTGTGCTCACCTCTCGCCCATCTCCGTCGCACTCATCTGGTGTGATGAGGAGTCTCAAAGACACTCACAGAGCATGCAGCCTGATGAGGAGCGCTCTGGCAGTGGCTGTGACAGCAGCAAGCGGCGGGGGAAGAGGCAGTAGGTAATGGAGGGAAGTGACGTGCATGAGGGAGGGCGAGGAGATGGCACGTGATTGCAGGGGGCAACTTGATATGATGAGGCAATTATTTAGAGTGATGCTGTGCAGAGCGTTCTTGATGGTGCATGCGGTTATTATGATTGCAGGGGCTTAATGCACCGTGATGCGGTGCAGAGCGGTGTTGATGGTGCGCGTGTCGGGGCATAGGGGTTTGTGGAGGCACATGGATTTGGAGATGATGGGCACAGAGAGGGTAGATGGATGGGGGCAGAGAAGGGCATTTTGCCTCCCATCTCTCAGTGTGTTTAACTGCCCCCCCCCCTAACAGGAAGAACGGCCTTCGAGCCCTCATTCGCCCTTTCCTCCGTCAATTTCCCCCCTGGTCTGGTCTGAAGCTTTCTTGATCCCCTTCCTCACTTCATCTCACTACCATGTCTTTCGTACTTGCAAGCTCCCCAATCATCTCTGCTGTTAAAGTGTTCCTGTCATCGCATTGCTCATAATGTACAAGTGTTGGGTTGAAAGCATCCGTTCCACCATACGGTACTTCTGTGCAGAGAACTCACTGATATCGCTGCCACACTCCCACAACCAACACACTCCTCCCACCACCATCTCGCTCCCACCACCACCTTTGCTATGCAGGAACGACGGAAGTCTTTTGGCAACAAGCGCCCTCTTTCTCCCATCGGCTCTCTCACTCCTACAGCCCTCTCACTCCCACCACCATCTCGCCATGCTGGAAACGAAGCCCGGTGGGGCAGCAAGAGGTCGAGGCAGCCTGGCAGGCTGCAGCCAAGACTTACTACGGTCAAATGCGGAGTCATGCGGGAGAGTATCACCAACAACTCAATCAGGGCAGTTTTGGTTGTATTGCGCGCCCATTCGTTCATAAATTGTTACAAATGTATTAATAAAGTATGTAATTATACTGCAGTGGTTAGTTTTGTGCGTGTTTTAGCGCGTGAAAATCTACCTACCCATGATGGTTGAACTTGGAGAGGGAGCTTGTGGCATTTGTGTGGAAATAAGATTAAGTTATTTCAGAACTTCATTCTGTCAAGTTTGTGTAAGAATCATGAAATCAACTGTAGGCTAACAATAGCTTGTATCTTCCGACGAGTTCGCGTCAGCTGGTTCGGCCAGCATCCGCGCTCCAAACCAGTTACGAGGCGCCACCGCACCTCGGAGCCTCGTTTCTCCGCGGTTCTCGCCTAGCTCGGCTCTGCCTATTTATTCCTCATTTTAGACATCCCTAGGGCATTCAGTTCTGTAGTTTTCAGGTTTGCAAAACCGCGGTCTCATAACAATTTGTTTCTCAATCGCTGCAGACCTAGTCACATCCCTTGAAGTAGCGGAGATTGCGTCCGGCAGGGATTTGCCAAACACGGGCCGCGTGTTAGATTCTGTCGGAAACCTTAGGAGCGCCAAGTAGCGGCGCAAACGCTACTGCGTCAGAGCGACAGATAGGCGAGGCAGGCGCGACGTACGGCGACGAGAGAGCGACTGACTGCTACGAGAGAACGACGAACCGCGACAAGAGATCGCTGCGACAAGAGAGCGACAGACTGCGACCAGGGAGTGACGGACTGCGACGAGAGAGCGACCGTCGACGGCGGGAAAATGCAGCTGATAACGGACACTAACCGACAAAAACCTTTTCGCAAAGGCGTAGAGCCGTCGCAGCAGATGCAATGGCGGGTGGATGAAGCACGCGCGCAGGGGAAGCTCCCAACCGCAGTGTCGTTGCGAGCAGCACAGCCCGAAGGCGGCGGCGCGAAGAGGCGGTGGAATCCCGCGCCGGTCGCGATCCGCCTGGATCACTTCTCAACTGCCGCCATCCCCGATGCACTCTCACCTCTGCCGTTGCCTCGTCGAGAGTCCGCGGCAGTAGGTTTGTGCACCGTGCAGAGCAGCAGGATGGGGAGCGCTGATGGGGGCATCAGTGACGGGCGATCGCGCAGAGCGGGAAGCGGGAAGTTAGGATGCGGGCGTGCGTGCGTGGGTTGGGTTTGGCGGAGACGAGGCGAGGGGTGGGAGAAGGGGGAGCAGGAGGCAAAGCAGGAGGGCGGGGGAGGGGAGAAGGGCGGGAGAGAGGAAAGCTGGGAGAGCGCGCGCCAGGGGCTCGAGGGGTGGCGCGATTGGGGGAACAAAGTGGGCCGCAGGGGAGAGGGCGGGTGCAGGTGAATGCGGCGACGTGGGAGAGCATGGGTGTGAAACGGGGGAAGGAGAGGCGGACACCGAAGCAGAAGCGAGTGAGCCGCTTGAAACGCATGGTGGTGCTGTGAGACAGGCTCGCGAGCAAAATCGAGGGCGGCAGCGCGAGTGCGTGGGCAGCAGCGCGAGTGGGGGATAAGGGGGAGATGGGGGAGGGGTGGATGGGAGAGGAGGAAGGGGGTGCATAGGGAGACGGGGACCTCAGGGTAAAGGACTTATGGGAGCAGGGAGCTATGAGGCGGCACATCCCCCCCATCCCCCTCTCCCTCCCCATCCTTCACGCTCTCCTTCCCCATCCCCCTCTCCCTCCCCATCCCCCTCTCCCTCCCCATCCCCCTCTCCCTCCCCATCCCCCTCTCCCTCCCCATCCCCCCCGCAGCGACGTATGGGCGCAGGGAGGTATGAGGCGGCGCATGGTAGCAGGGTTGAAGGTGGTGGGGCAGGCGGGCAGGGCTCAAGGAAACATTTCTCGTTTCCGCATGCAGGGTGCGATGCGGCGGCAGGTGCTGGCAGTGCTGAAGGGGGGCAAGCGATGCATCCTCTTCCCATCCCGACATGATGGTGCTGCTGTGATCCACAAATGCATGGTGAAAGGGGATGGCAGAGGGCAGACGGTGAGCAGCGGGGAGAGTCAAGTGTGTGGTGCTGGGAGGGCCGAGTGTGTGGGAGAGAACGGTGGAAGGTAGATAATGTTTTGAATTTTTAGACCTTACTGAAGTTCTGTCTTCGCGTACGCAGCATTCATCGTTCAAACCACCCCTAACCACCAGTCCCAACCCCCACTTCCGTGTCCGCCCTGTCTCCCAGGCGGTCGCACTCTCGCCCATTCTTGCAGGCAACTGCACGCAGGTTTTCCGCGCACCCACCCCACCATTCATTCCACCCTCTCGCCTCCCCCCCCTCCTCTCACCCCCACGGCACCTTCCCCAAGGCGCTCTTGACGCAGCCCTCCTCACACCCATTCTAGCAGCAGGTGCTGCTGCGCTGTGCATGCAGCCATGATAGAAGGCGAGTGCAGGTGGAATGGTGGTTGACTGTGGTGAGTACTGGCAGAGTGGGGGGAAAACGGCTATGACAAGATGGGTTCTTCTTGCAGTGAGGACTGAGGGGCTGGTCAAGGTCACTAGGCGGATAGAGGGAAAAGGGGTGAGGGGAGCGGAAAAGCGCGAGTGTAGATGCCAGTTCTTTCAAGTACTTTTGCGTCGGCTTAAAGGTGTGTGTGTTATTGATCCTGGTTCCTATCAAGTATTGACTCAACTTAAAGTGCGTGAGTTATTAATGCTGGTTCTATCATGTAGCGTGTGTGGGGGGTGAGCGTTGCTGATAGTGGTGGCGGAAGCAAAGTGAATCGATCAGGTGGAATCTGAAGTGGAAGGTTCTGGCTGGCGAGTCAATGTTTTAGTCGAACTAAAATGTGGGGAGTATGCACTTGCAGCGAAGAAGCACAACCCCACATACTCCCCACATTTAAGTTCGAGGCCACATTTAAGCAAACGATGAGGTGGAAGTGGAAGGTTGTGGCTGCCTTGCAGTTGCTCTTTCTTGTGCAAGGCACAAATCAGTTGGCCCCACCTTCAACACTGCTTTGCACGACAGTAGTGACTCGCTAGCAGCAAAATCCTTCTCCCCACGTACCCGTCCACATTCATGCATATACCCCCTTACGCACAATGCTCTGGAGGCAGAGAGGGGGAGAGGGAAGAGGTGCAGGCGGGGCAGGAAGGGTTGGAGGGGCAGGGAGGGCAGGAGGGGAAGGAAGAGCCAGAGGTGTCGGAAGGGTAGGGAGCAGCGGGTACGTGAGTGGTGGGACGCGACTGTGGCAGGAGGGGCAGGTGGAACGGGAGGCAAGTGGTGTGTGAGTGGTGGGGAGGAGGGGAATAAACGGACAGATGGATGCTCAGGAAGGGCCGGGCTAGGTTGTGAGGTGTGCTTGCATTGCCCTCACCACACACCGATGGGGTGCTCAGCCTCCTGAGGAAGTAGAGCAAGGGAGACAGCTGTAACAGGAGGGGCAGGCGGAGCGTGCTCACCTCATGCCTCTCGCCCATCTCCCACACACTCACAAGGCAGCCTGCTGAGGACCGTTATGGCAGAGGCAGTCATGGCCGGAGGGGGTGACGCAGTAGGCAGTATGGATAGAGGGGATGGGCATGAGAGAGGGGGAAGAGAAGATTGGAGAGTGATTGGAGGGGCCAAGTGATTGATGAGGACAGAGGGGGGCAGATGGATGGGGAGGGGGAGAGGAAAGCAGCGCATCCCCACACAGGCTGAGCGAGATAGAAGAAGATGAAGAATGAAGGGAGAAGCAGCAGTTAGGTACAAAGGAGATGCGAGGCGCAAGGGGCCAGGCGCAAGAGGGGGTTTGGGAGGAGGAGGGGGAGCAACCACTGCCCAACCACCCTCCCTTCTGTCAGCCACGGAGGTGGGTGTAACAGACAGCACTCTGGATCGTGCCGTCTGGATCATGCCGTTAAGACACCTCTGGTGTGGGGGGAAATGTTTTGGGGGGAAGGGGGAGGCGGTCGTTCGGGGGGAAATAGGCGATCGCTTTGGACCAGTCGGGATACATGCATCAGTCCAACCCGTTGGTACTGCCATGCCGAGAACTCAAACCACCCCATTCTAAACCATCTCACTCTCATCGCAACTCTCCCACCACCATCTCACTCCCACCACCATCTCACTCCCACTCTTCCCTCTAGGAAGCCAGGCTGCAGGCAATACGTACCGCAGTCAAATGCAGGAGAATTTTCTACAACCCAATAATGGCAGGCAGCTTCTTGGGTTCTGTGCCCCTTGACAAAATGTAAAGAAACGTACTGTTACTGGCATTAGTAAATCATGTAGATGTACTGCACTAGCTAGGTTCGTTTGTATGTGTTTTAGGCGCCTGAAAAAATAACCCGCGATAGTTGAAATTGGTAATTGACCTTGTAGCATTTGTAGAGATTTTATTGGTTTTTTCTAATGATTTTACATTTTTTTTTAGGTGATTGATATGTACACCGAGCAGAACAAGCATACATAATAAACAACAGTCGTAATTGTGCATGAGGGGAAGCTACGCGGCCGCCCCAAGTGTGGCATCTATGGAGGTCGGTGAGTCATCCTCGGTGCAATCCAGACATTTGCAAATGCGTTCGTCCACGTCCACGACTTGCGATTTTTGTCCCTAATCCGAAACAGCAACTTGTCCTTCTCCATTGTGCGGCGAAACTTCTCCTCCTGACGTGTACCCTGGCACTTTTTCCACAGCGCTTCCCTTGTCCGCGTGTACAGTCTTGCATGGAGCCGGAAAGCCGTTTCAACCTTCCGGAGCAATCGCCTCGCCCGAAACTTTTGCCCCCTGAAAACGGCATTAGACCGCTCCAGCCACAGCTGATGAAATCGTAAAAGCTGAGCTGAACCCTGCTGGTTGTTGACGTAATCGTGGCCTCCGGAAAAGCTGAGCTGGACCCTGCCTGCCGGAATAGCAGGTATCTGAGGGACGACACTCTGCGCGAGGCGTTCATCATGCGGAGGGTTTTCAGGAGCGCCGAGGTCACCAGAAGTATCTTCAGGCAACTGTAGAGACAATGCTCTAGGGTTTCAACCCCTCCACAGTATGGGCAGACCGGCTTTCTGCCTAAAAACGCCACCCGTTCTTCAACTTGCAGGTTGAGGTTATGGACCCGCACCAAAAGGTCTCTTGGTTTGCTTGGTGTGACCAGCGAGTCACGAATGGCAATGGTCCTCTTCCAATTTATTTGCCCGTTCCATCTGCCCTTCCACAACAACTTCTTCGACAATGGTTTTTGTCCTTCCCTCCAAAGCAGCTTCAACCGCTTCACCCCATTCTAAAAAATGGGGAAGTCGGTGAGGTTGCGCCCCGCAGAGTGGTAAACCCTCCGAGATCCAGCCGAGTTATCCCCTTGCGTGTCCCGAGTAGGCGCGCTGAGCAATAATTCTCTCCATCTATGGGGAGCAGCTTCGAAGGCCCTAACCGCTAGCTTGGCAGATGCTTTCCCGCCCAGCTCCCTTTCTAGCACAGCAGAAGCTTTGAGCGCAAGAGTGCCGTTCCCGTCGAACGCGAGCAGATCACCCAACCTTTTTCCCCACAGCGTTTTCGCATTTTTCAGCCCCCCGACCAGCGTGGTCCCCTTCAGCAGGATCCGCTTGTTGAAAACGATCCGCTCCTTTTCCACTGCTTCACGAGTACATGCCTCCGGCAGATTACCCAGTGGCGTGCCGCCTTCCAGCGATGACTTTTCCCCTCCCAGTGCTTGAGCAGCTTCTCATGGGCGAAAAACGTCTCGATTCCCATGGGCAAGTCCGCCGCCCGCGTCATGAGGTGTTTCTTCAGCTGGTTTGTCTCCAACGCTTATAGCCCCACACGACGGGCTGTGAGGCACGCAAGGATCATCTCCAGGTCATGCACCCCCACGCCCCCCAGCTTCCTCGGAGTGTGAAGCAGATCCTTGCTCCAGAGCCTGAACACCTTGTCTGCCGTTGCTTTATTCCCGGAGACGAAATTGTGGAAACTTTGGAGACAGTGCCTCACCATTTCACTGGAGGCGGGTAAACCTGCGCTTGGAATGCTGCTTTCGGCGTCGTATAGCAGTTGACCACCGCTGTCCTTGCCGCCATCGGAAGGAACTTCTGCTGCCATTTTTTTACCTTTCCCGTCACATCCTCCATAGTTTTTTCCCATGTTGGCAGGCAGCTTCCTGATGGAGTGACCCAGACCCCAAGCAGCTTCTCCACTTCCTCCGCCTTTGCCCAACGGAAGCCGTTCGCCCGACCAGTCGTCCTACCGAGATTGTTCCTCAGTGGTAAGATGACCGACTTATCCTGTTTGTCGCTAGCCTCGAGGTCAGCTCGAACTTTGCTAACACTTGTTCAGCTCTGATGATCTGCTGCTTCCCTTCCAAGACCAGGGTGGTGTCGTCCGCATACCCGATGTACGCAAACCGCTCGCTCGCCTTGCTGATGCCCAACTTCCGCTTCAGAACCATTTGCACCAGCGGCTCAACCGCGCACAAAAACAGGTACGGGGCGAGGGGGCAGCCCTGCCGGACCCCGGAGACCACCTCCACGCCTTCCCCCATCCAGCCATCAACTAACAACCGTGTCTGTGTTCCCGCATGCAGGCCTTCCACCTAGCGCACCAATCGAGCAGGGAAGCCCATCGCCCGCAACGTCCGGAAGAGGTAGCCGCGGGAAACAGAGTCAAGTGTTTATTTGAAGTCGACCAAGAGGAGGAACCAATCCTCATTATCATTCCGCGCTGTGTGAATAATGTCAGCGACAAGCCCCACCGCATCCGTCAGCTGCCTTCCTGAGTTATCCCCCTTCTTGTGAAGCAGTATTGTAACCGCCTCCTTTACTTCCGTCGAGAGAACTCCTGACGACGCGAAATCCTTGGCTAAGGCCATGAAGCCCTTACCCAGCAGGTCCAGTGGGCTTCAAATAGCTCCTTTGGTAGACCATCTTTCCCCGAGGACTTGTTTTCTGCCATCGCACTGAAGGCCTTTTTCACCTCCTCTTCCGTCCAGTCTGCTGCCAGTTCATCTGCTTCCCAGACCCTCAGCGTCCTTCCCTGCGCAGGACACAAGTCGTCTTCCAGCTGACACCGGTGCCGTCCGAAGATTTCCGCGAAAAAGTCAGACGCCGCACGAAAAATATATTGCAAAGTGGAGACGACGCGTGCCGCTGTCTGCAACTCCGCAATCTAGGTACTCGCCTTCCTAGCCTGGACCATTGCCGTTAGGTGCTGTGAAGCCACTTCCCCTCAGAGCTCCAACCACATACCGGACATCAGGTGCAGCTTGTCCTTTCTTGACGCCTAGTATTCTCGCAATTGCGCCTCCTTCACTACTAACCGTGCACTTGTTGCCTTGCAGGACAGATCCCGCATCATTTCCTGAAGCTCCACAACCTCATCAACCAGATGAGTCACCGTCGCCTTCACCCGCTTGCCTTCCTCCTTTGCAAATGCACGAAGCTTAACCGCCAACCTCGAAAGAAGCAGGTCGAAACTGCTAGCGTCCGTGACAGCACATTTCGCTACCGTCGCTTCCACAATCCGTCGAACCCCATGCTTGTGGACCATTGATGCGTGAAGTCTCCAGAGGCCGGGACCGATGCAGAGCTTGGCGTCAATCCGAAGGGCCACCCGGATTGCAAAGTTGTGATCTGATCTATAGTTCTACGGCATCACATGAGAAGCCTGGATTAGGTGAGGTAGGAGAGAGTGAGAGATGAGAGCCCAATCAATGCGCGTGCTGGCTTGCTTGGCCTGGGAAAAAGGTAAACTCTTGCTTTCTTAGATAAAGCGTACGGAAAGCGACTGAGAGCTGGAAGTTAGTGCAGCGGGTGAGGAGCCTATCGTTTTCTGCAGTAGAACCTATGCGCGATGATTTATTTAATATGGGGTCCTCTATAATGTTAAGATCGCCGATGGTGAGCAGGTGATTGGACGGCGGGATCGAGTCTACGTCCCGACCAAGGGAGTCACGGAGAAAAGTTGCACGGGAAGTCGCATTGGCAGGGACGTAACAAGCTATGATGGTAAGCTGCAACCCAAGACCATGGATCTTAGCGGAAAGTTATCTACTAGACCAATGGATTAACACGCTGTGGAAGCTAAGTAAAGGCGAGCAATAGAGCAGAGCTACACCGCCAGCCTTCGACCTAGGTGAGGTTGCTACTGCTAAGCTGTAAGTTGGGTGGGACCATACGGGTGATCGGAAGCTATCCCAGTGCCATAGAGGTCAATAATGTCTGCTGCTTGTCTGGACCTGTCGAGGACACGCTGCTGTTTGGTCTTATCTCCTAGGCCGTTGACGTTAAGGTCTGCGAAACTGATAAGGCTTCTTTTACTCATATAATAGCAACTTGAGAACCCCTACGCATCCACAGGGTAAAGAAGAGAACGGTACCGACTACTGAAAGCTACATCCTGTCTACCGAGCTGCTCTTGCCTCAGAGCCCATACTCCTTCGTCGTGACGTTGTGAATTGCTTTCTCGAGCGAGGCACGAGTCGCATATCCGAGCTTCTCCAGATGAATGAGGTGATTTGCGAAGGTGACATGTTCTGCCGCAAACATGAAGTTTCTCCCCTTCGCCTTCCCACAGCCCACTAGCGTGCAGATCCACTCCTCCCGGTTCCCTCCAGTGGAGATCAGCACCATGGCTAGGTCCTGTAGGTTAGGAGTTATCAGCGGTGAAGCCGGAAGGGATGCAGCTGCACGGTACAACTTGGCGGTTAGCACAAGAGCAAGCACACTGGTAAGCATGATCATACAGAGAAAAGCAGTTACCATTAATACGATGAACCCTCCCCAAGGTAAGGTTCCACTTCCCTATGTTGTTTTGCCGCTCCATAGTGAAAGCATCATGATTGACGTCATAATGCTGTCCACCACAGAGCCGGCAAGACAGCGAAGGAAAGTGGACGAAGAAGCGACGGCCGATCTCCAGAGGA